TTTACTGTCGGGTTTTTCCTTTGAAGAGCGCGGAATAAACGTGTTGGTTTTAGACGTGTTGATATATATTGAGCTATAATTTGTTTGTGTTTAGCCATCCTAATTGTTCATTTCAGTTTCACTCAAGAGTTTCATTTATTAAAGCTAGATCAAACGAGGATTGACGCGACCTTGGTCACCTGTTATGATTAAACTTTCACAAGTTAAAACACAGTTGGAACACTCATCAAACCTCGATGTTGCACGAGTCACTAAAGAATATAATTGTATCATGAGACATCAGCTACAGCAGTATTTTTGAAACAATGTCACTGCAGTTTTGAATTTAATATACAGAATAAAACGTAGTAGGCACATTTCGTTTGAATACAGTGAGCAGACCAACTGCGCTTTTCAATTCGGTTACATGTAGTGAATAATTTGACAATCACCACAAAGTTCTAGATTCTATTACTGCTCTAGATACTATTCTATCAAAGTTCTAGATTCTATTCTATTAAGGTCGTTGAAGGCAAAATATTTCGAGAAACACCGGTTGCTGCCATGACCACGTCGCTAATATTTGAAACCAAGCGATCAAGACCTGTTCTGCTGTCAACTTGACCTGCCCATATTTCACGCAAAATTAAAATCAATCAAATTTAAACATCTCGATATAGTTTTAATAGTTCGTTTGATATGGGGATGCGACTACCTGGAAAATAGAAGGAGAACTTACTTCTCCTTGTATTTTGTATTTTCCGGGCAGTTGCACCAGCCCTGTCAATCCGAAGTTTGCTTCTGATTGGTACAACCTATACTGGCACAAACTATTCAAGATTATAGTTAGTTTTAACCATATAAAAGATCTCGCTTTTAATAATACACTCGTTTTAATATACAAAAATAATGACCCTCACCCAACGTGTCTCCTAACGTAGCAGATCAATAATGAGATTCTAATTAGGGTTTGCTAAGTGCCCTGCATGCATGCGTGTATACTGAAGTAGAGTCTGAGACGACAGCTACCTCCATTGCAGGCTTCTATACACTGTCACTTACATTCCACGCAATTTTACATTTGCAGTCATTAGTTTAGCTTAAATCATAGTTTAGGACTACGTCAAGACGAAACGCGTAGTGTAGCTATATGTTTTGACTAATATATTTCAACAACTCATGCGGCATTTTAGCTAAATTACCATTTTTACCACCTGCGTGATGGGCGTAAACAAAACCGCACGAGTGAAATTGGAATTCATCTAAATTGCCATTTGAAGTAACGAGGTGGATGCGCAGGACATATTACTGCCTGGAAGACACAGAAAAACGCTCTTCTCTTTCATTTAACAGGTAGGTGGCATCAATATTTCCGCTAAACATTTTAATATAATCTGGGAAACTTTGAAAACATATCATACTTTATTTAATTCTACGTTTTGACTAATCTTTAGTTCCTTGAGCTCGGGTGATGAGTTATGATTAATATAGAAATGTATAAGATTAAGACTATGGAATATTCAGCAGATTCTATTGACTATTGAATTTTAAGTGGCTTAATTTTAATACCGTCTATTAAGACATTGATCTCTTTTTAGAAGTTATAAACTTTTATTTATTTTGAAAGACACTTCTTTCACATGTTTTGTGAAACAAAATAAAACTCGGAGCTTTTCCGAAGGTGTAACTTGAGGTACACACGTAAAAACGCACAAGTTGTAACAACTTGTAGCATGCAGACTTGTAGCAATGCTGTTCCAACAACTTGTCAACAGGATGTGTTCGCACTGCAGGTTGTTGAGGAATAACAGGCTTGCTACAAGTTCTTTTAGTTATCGTCCTGCAATTCAACAATTTGTCGACAAGTTGTGAGTGACAACCTTGTAGCAACTTGATAAAATAACAACATTGTCAACAAGCTTGCTACAAGCCTGTTGCGAACACGTCTAGTTGACAAGTTGTGACATTTTCACGTGTGTATCCGTCCAGGGTCGCACTGGTCTTGAATGCCCTTTGTCAGGTCGATTCTCTGATAAACTGAAGTTCAAATTATTATTTCTCGGCCTATAGATAGTGGTCTTGAAATACAGGAAGAGCGTAAACTTCAAACGGTTCCCAACATAGTTTCTGATATAGTTCTTCGGCAGGTGCCTCTTACCGGCGACAAAAACGGAATTATTAGGCCACTGACTCAGGGGGAGCTGAGAATCTACTCAAAGAAAATCTTGGGCAACCATAAGAAAACTGTAGATGGATAAAAATGCAACTGCCTGAAATATACAAGGAGAACTTCAACATTTCGAGCGAAGGTCGAAGTTTTACTTGTATTTTTGAGGTATAGTTGCATGAATCCCGGCCTCCTAATCCTCGGTTTTCTGCTGCGGTTTTTGTCGCTACCTACTGTTCGAGCAAACATGGACTATATCAACAGTTAATTGTCGGCAATGTTTATCTTAGTAGCTCCCTTGTAATTACTTTCACTTAAAATTGTCCGCTCATCAGAATATATTGCGCTACTCGCGAAGTCGCGGTTATGTTTCGTGCATTAAGATAAAGTTTTCCGCGACTAATAAACGAGATTTAATTGATTTTTTAGTGAATTTGAAAGTAATCCATCGCGCTCCATCACTATACCAGCGTTTGTGAAGTTCATTGTTTTTACAATATCCAGTTTTTATTCAGTGCTAATCATGTCATGGACAAGGATAAAATATATCTCTGGGGTTGTAAAATCATGAAACGAGAAATCTTATCAATGTTTCATGGCGGCTATGATAATACAGAGCAGGATATTAATTGTGTGATAGAAAAATTATCAATCTTTAATATTGAAGTATAGATCTTATCAAATCATACATAAATAAATAAAGGAAGACGAGGCTCTTCACTCAACGGAAGTGAAATACAACCTCGTTCCCAGGCTAAGAGCCTGGGAACGAGGTTGAGTGAAATACTACGATGTAGGTCTTCAGACAGGTCTTGTAAAAGATGGCACGCACATGATGATCAAACTTTCACAAAACGCCAAACAAAAACTGAATCTACGCCCTTTGAACCGACGATGGTATCTAATTAAACCAAACTTCCCATTTGCAGGAACGCGCACCGATTGCTTGCGAAAGATTTCAAAACTACTGCACAAAATGTAGAATCTGAAGATTCAGTGTACAAAATGTCTTGGCAAATTTCTGATTTTCTACAAAAACACTTTCTGACTGCAGGTGGTCTGCCTATCTGTGAAAATATCCGACATTTCTGCGCATCTTTGTCATGGAAAAAAAATTGAACAGTTTGGTCGCAGTTGAATGCACAAGCAAGATATAAACCTAATAACGCATGCACATATATCATACACAGTTTATTAAGCACTCAGAAACTCGAAACCGACAACGACTCGTGCTGAGAATAACCAGGTAAGTTAAACGTATATAATTAAATAAAGGCTTAAAGCATTGTTTATATATCAGGTAGATGTCTACTGCCGTCTGGCTTTCTTATGTCAAGCAGTCTAATATCGATTCACCAGTAAGGCGCAAAATACTCGGTAATTGTAAGGCTTTCAATGTTTCAGTGGAAAGTTCGTCTGTCGCCTCTCTCAAAGACAAGTGTGAAAGTTAATTTATTTATTACATGTGTGCTATCATGTTATCAAAAGAAAAGTGCAGAAATATTCAGTATTATTACAAGAAACTATTTCGTTATGGACTTACCGGCGGTATGATGATTGATACTGATTAAATAAGGTATGATAATTGATGCTTTGACCAAAAAATCGGTACATAAACTAAAACACATTACAGAATACAGAAAAGAAGCGTGACAAATACCAAAGGATGGCTTAATCATCGCTTTATAAGAATTATAGATAAAGTAATTAATAAAGAGGGAGATGTAGTCATGTGTTTAATGTTTGCTTTGTGGAAGCGCCATGGCAAGTTGGTGTCTTTGTTCCATAGATCTTATCTGCAATTCAAAAATTGAAGCCGTGATTGCAGACTCAGGATATTCCCGTGAAATGAGAAGACTCGTATGTTTTCTATTTCTTAAACAGGGAACTTAAACATTAAGTTAAACGTATTCCAAATACATTTTCAAACTATTCAAATGATGAAAGTTATTGTTTTTTTAAGTGTTTATTAGCGAGTGGGAAACTTCAACATGGCCGCCATCTATGCAAATGGGGGTAACCGCTGGAATATTCTTCTAGTGTATATAAGATATCTATGCTTTGTTCTGATGACAAATTGACAATGGCACTTAAATTGCCAGAAAAAAAAAGGATTGCATTTCTGGCAATTCTCATGCTCATTGGATCAATTGTCTTGGAAAGATTTTCTTTCATTACGTCTAAAGCAATAACATTTTTATTAATTCCTTACATATTTAGGTGTAAATTTAGTGAATTAGGGAAAATGTGCTAACCAAAATACTAAACACATGCAAAATCGATCAATTACAGATTTACAGATAAACAAAATTAGGAACCGGCTCTGATTGCATGATTAGTTTCTGATGACGTAAGATCGTAACAAATCCGACAGTGTTGGTCCAACATCACCATACATCCTGTTGAACAAAACACAACATGTTGGGTCCGTATGAGCTTGACATCCAACATGCACCAGCCAACATTATTGGATTAACAACCTTCGACGATTTAGAAATAGTTTGAACCTAATTTGAACGCGGATCTTCATACAAAATTATACTGCTAGATGTACTAAACTAGGAGCAATATGTTGGAATCAAGGTAGGAGTTCAATTTAATATAGAAATAATTAGATTGTGGGGCCTCTATACGACCTGATATCTCATCTTTTGTGACCTTTTCTTCTAATCGCTCGTCTCGCACCCGTTCAAGCAAGGACAACTTGTTTCAAGTCAATCCGCGTGCAAAACCTCTCTTCAGTTTAGAAATTATTTTTTTAACCGAATTGTCTTTCTATGGAACACCCTCCGATCATTCGTAACAGTTCGTCTGTTCCATATTCACTATACTCTTCTCAATTAGACTCTTCTTTCGATGTTAACAGAATGCGCACTTTGAAAACCTACTGCTCTAAATGCCGTTCTTTCAACTTAAGCTGTTGCTCATAAATAGTGTTCTAGTCCTTGTCTTTAGTAGGTAAAGTAGGTAAAACTTTATTTTACTACGCTAACCCCTACAGCAAAAGCTGATTTCCAAGGGGGCGTAGCATTAAATTTACATTAAAAATTTAGAAAAATTAAACATACAAATACAGTTACTTACATGCAGTTATTACAATTACATACATAATTAAATAGATAATAGCACATACAGTACATACATACATACATACATAATAGTAAATATTAATAGATTAAATAGTCAAGGTAAATATGGGTTTGAAAACTCTAATTAGTAGCCAGGTGTCATACGTTTTTATTGAATATAGCTAGTGATTCTGTTCCTCTTAATTCATTTGGGAGACTATTCCACAGTTTAGCCCCTCTATTTGTTTACTTGTTGTTTTGTAT